GGGGGGTTAGGAGGGGGGGACGTAGAGGAGGGGGGGTACGGGGGCTCCGCGAAGCTGCCGTTTTACACGTTCAGGTGGGGGGTGCACCCGTCCGTCCGAGTGGGGTTCTCGGCGCGAGGGAAGGTGTGGGCCGGGGTCGGGTGCTTGTTCTGGGGATCGATTGTATACCTTGCCTTGAGACCGATTTTGCATACCTGACGCGGCTGGACCTGTTGGGGTCCCCGTAGTTGAGTACGTGGGGGGGGGGGGGCTGCCTTACCTTGGCATTGAAGACCGTTGCTGTGGTGGATAGGTCGGAGGGGGGCAGTTTGTGGGTGGGAGGGTGTGTTGTAGTTTTAATTGTGGTGGCTGTATTGTTGTCGTTTTGGAAGTTGAAGTGCAACGGTGTAGCGCGTGGGTGAGTGAATGTTTTTTTCTACGTATCCTTCAATGTTTATGGAAACTTAACGTCTGTTCATAGGCTTCGTCGGTGTCCTATTCGGCCAGGACGAGCGTCACACGGCATTCCGTGGACCCTTCAGTGTGTTAGCCCTGTGCAGACAGGGGACCGAATTTCGAGATTGTATGCTTATAGAGCTTGCGTCTGTTAGGGGCTTGGGTTAGGGTTTCTTTTCAGGTTTGTTGTCTCTCTGTCTCTCTCTCTCCCCCTCCCCCCATTTGGTGTAGCGTAAAACTACCAGCGGGCGCCGTAGTAACATACATGGCTGGGATTGTATTTGGTGTGTCGATGGGAGGGAGGGAATCACATCCCCACCGGCCGGGCCGATGTAATAATGTATTTCCGAACACTTCGGTTATTGAAACACTGCTGTACAGCAGTGTTGCGCCGGCCAGCCGGCAAGAAACATGCTGACAAGAAAATCGAGGCTCCGGTCGTGGAAAATATCACAACAGCAATGGCGTGAGAGAAAGTGGGCTCAGCCGCCCGTTCCGCACTTCGTCCTATATGGTAGATGTACTAGCTTCGAAGTAGCCTGTGCTTGATCGTGGAGACTCTGCAGCGGTTCGAGCAAAGAGGTATTTTCTTATGTACGAGCCGGCAGCACTGATGATGATATACGGTCTGCTGCATGGCAGGCAGGATGCATGGGCTGCTACAAATAGCTACACGAGGAGCCGACTTTCCAAACTCCTGTTGTAGACAGATGTTGAAGAACGCTCAGCGGCAGCTGTCGCCTTTGAACAGAACAGAACAGAAAAGTTCAGGGTGAGTTGAGTGTTGGACACCGCTAAAAAAAAAAAGGTGTTGGCGTACGCCCACGGTTACCCGTTCAGCACCCCCAAAGCTCTTGTTATATTTTTCGTCGCCCTCATCTTTGCGTATGCCCTTGGATAAAAATAGAGGGGCACAAGCACGAAAAGGCCGCGAATGCTGAACCAACCACACGCACGTTACCATACTTTTACATGAAGATGAACATGGCGTGTGGGTTGCCTTCGTCTTGACTCTTCCTCGCCTCGCGTGCTTCGGCTGTGTCTGTTTCCCACCGGCGACCCACGGAATAAACCGTGCCGCCGGCAAGGAAAGCCGCAAACAAAAGGTACAACCCGTAAAAATGATCAAATTACCTCCCGGATTGGTACAGCGTTCAACATGCGAGTCCGATATGTAGTATTTAGTGTATGCTACAATAACACGCAAGACAAGGACAAAGCGCCATCGGTTGGTCGACCAATCGGCAGTTTGAGTAAACCAGCGTGCCGTCAGTGCTAAAAATACCGCGTGGCAACCTCTCGTATATGGTATCTATAGGCTGGACGGGCGAAATATGTATCCACCTAATATTAATATTCTCTAGGTAGCAAAGCACCTCCTGCCCTGCCGCGAACAGTAGCACGCCGAAGTTTCAGCTCTTCGGCGGCGCTGTCACAGCAAAGCTTTCCGGCTCGGACAATCTTGTCACTTTTGCTCATGTATCACAAGTACACGCGCTACTCTTTACAAAAACTCCCCTCTCCCCAACGGCTACGCCGGCCTTCACTCTCTTGTTGTCTGTGCTTGCTCCCCCTACATACCCATACTTACCCGAACGTAGCCGTATACATCTTTCAACAGGGTTGATGAAAATTGAACCGATACGAAATAAACCACGCTGAGCAAAAACCCAAGTCCCGCTCCACAGCCCGTGTTTACAGTATGTACTGGCTGACATTTGCGTTTGGCCTTCAAGCGTGACATGCACCAGATGCATACGTCAGACGGGAGTGAGTGGGGGGGGGGGGAGCAAAACCTCCCACGAAAAAACGGCAGGAACGAACTTTTACATGCATAGGCAAAACAGGAGGGAGCAAAAAAGCGTCCTCCCTCTTTTCTCCGCATTGTCACGGTGGCCTTCGAACAGAGCAAACCTTACCTATAGAGCAAACCTTACGTATAATACAAGAAACTTAAACACAGATTCAGAGCTTGTTGTTGTTGTTGTCTTCACATTAAAAACCGTTCCGATCTCTCTCTACCCAGTACCTTCGTATGTCCGTACTGATCCAACACTCGACGCGGTCGATTCCCGTGGTCACAGGTTAACTTACAGAGCTTAGTTGGCCACGAAACATCATACACCCCCTCTTACAAAAGCCAAATGACAGCTTAACGGGGCCAAAACTGAGAACAAGTGCAATAGGCTAACGCGAGGCCACCCAATCAAGTACGGACGATGGAGCACGACGATATGAGCCAACACGTCAGGCCGGGCGAAAGACGCTTGAAACGTGCCTAGGTGACATCAGGCAAACAAACGCACCCTCTGTTCCGCCTTCGGGAACTCAAAACGTCCCGAGTTTTTTTAAACCCCTGCTTACACCGGTCATACAAAAAACGCCAGATACCACCCCCCCCTGCCACCATCTTCTACGCCTGGTTCCTCCTCAACAAAACGAGCACGGGAGTGTCGCCCGGAGGTGCTGGAACTACACTCGCCTTCAAGATACCATGTAGACATGCACGAATTTGGAAGGATGACAACGAAAAGAGACAAAAAACAGATTAATTACTACAGCCACCCACCCCCAGAAAAAAAAACACCACACACGCACCCCAATAAAAAGCTTGCCGGCACACAAGAGATGTACAAAGAAAAGGCAAAAACAGGTTAACGATGAAAGACGGACGGACAGGCTCCATCCCGGGCAAGATCGATTACTTTTATATTCGCAATTGCACAAGAACTTCTACACACGAGATTTGGCGGAATCAACAAGAAAAAGACCAGACCCAGCAGACTTGGTGGAACGTTGAAAACGCCACCCGCCACGCGTTACCACACCGTCATAGATTCCGGGAAAAAAATGACGAAGGCCGCACGCGTCCACGGAACAATCTAACCCTTGGGTCCCGCAAAGCCTCGAAAACAGAGCAAACAACTCAAAACAAATGAAAGTCGAGTTTCCGCCAGTCTTCGCAAGGCGTCCTCCCTGACTCTTCATTCCAACACGCCCCCCGTTACCACTGCCTAGGGCGGCGAGTCCTCGTCCGTATGTACATGTTCTAGAACCCAATAAAAAAAAAAAACGGGACCCTGGCACAAAGCGCACCGCCTAGTGTGGCTTTGTGCAGATGAAGAACCCGCAGCAAAGACAACACGTGCGCAACGTCTACCCTCCGTGCGGCACACGGGTACAACGTTGGTGACGGTCGTCCTTCTTGCCGCCGCAGCGGCCTCCGGCAAGCTTCGCTGGCGGCTGTCAAGGATGCTGATACATCCGCCTATTAGCTCTTGGTACAATAGATACTGCTCCGCTGCTGCTTCTTTTTCGCCGAATTTCAGGATTAAACATCGCGCCGGTCAACATCCGACGGCCCCGAAGCTACCCCCTCGGGAGACTGCCGTGTACTACCCCCCGCCCTTTAAGCGAAGCCTTGTCAGTCCAGCGTGGGCTGCTCCACACGTTTTTCTTGGAAGAACCAAGAGCATTCAACACATCATGACAACTCATAACACGCGGGGCGGGGGGCGCGCGCGCGGATCATGGGGGGGGGGGGGGGGGGGGGGGGGAAGGGTTGGGATATTTTTACAAATTTTTTCCCAGGGGGGAAAAATTTTAAAACCTTTTCCCCCCCCAAAAAATTCCCGGAACCCCCTTTTCTTTTTAACAAATGGTTTTTCGAAAACCCCTTTGGCCCCCCCTTTTATTTAAAAGGGGGGGGAAAAAATTTTGGAGGGGCCCCAAAAAAAAATTTAAAACCAAACGTAAACCCGGGCCGGAACTTTTTTTTAAAGGGGTGGTAAAACCCCCCAACCTTTAAAAGGGTTTTTAGGGAAAGGGGGGCAAAAAAAGGAAAAAAAACCCCCCTCCTTTTTCAGGGAAAACATGGGGGGGGGGACCCCGGGGCCCCCCAACCCAAAAAAAATTTTCGCCAAAAACATTTTTCGGCCCGGGGGGGGGGGGCTTTTTTCTTTTTGGGGGGGAAAAAAAAAAAAA